TTTGTTCTGTGGGTTAGTATATGGTCTATTTTAGAGAACGTTCCATGTGCTGCTGAGAAGAATGTATATTCTGATATTGTTGGGTGGAATACTCTGTATACCTCCACCAAGTCTATTTGTTCACAGGTGTGGTTCAGTTCTATTATTTCTTTGCTGATTTTCTGTCTTGTTGATCTGTCCTTTTCTGTCAATGGCATGTTAAGTTCTCCTATAATAATTGTCATTGCTTATCTGATTTTTCATTTCTATTAATATTTGTTTTGTATATCTGAGTGCTCCCGAATTTGATGCATATATATTTAAGATTGTTCTGTCTTCTTCTTGAAGTTTTCCCTAACTAGTATGTAGTGACCTTCTTTATCTCTTTGGATCACTCTTGGTTTGAACTTCACATTGTCTGCAAACAGAACAGCTATCTCTGATGTTTTGGAGATCCTGTTGCATGAAGTATTGTTTTCCATCCTTTGACTTTCAGTCCATGAGTTTCCTCTTGGGTTAGATGGGTTTCTTGTAGACAGCATGTGGTTGGATGTTGTTTCTTGATCCATTCTGCCAGTCTGTTTCTTTTAATTGGTAAATTGAGTCCATTTACATTAATGATTATAACTGGTATATATTGACTTACTTTTGTCATGTTATCTTTCTGCTGTTGGTTCTTTACCTTTCTCCTCTGTTTAATTTTTGCCCTACTTGGTGTTTTTTTTTTTTTTTTCTGTTAGTGGTCTTGAAGGTGTAGTTATTTTTATGTCTAGCTAGAATATCTTTTAGTATTCATTGCAGGTTTAGTTTGGTGGTCATAAAGTTCTTCAAGTGTTCTTTGTCATGGAAGCATCTCATTCTCCATTGATTTTGAAGGACAGTTTTGCAGGGTATATCAATCAGGGTTAGGAGTCCTTTTTCTTTAGAATTTGAAAAACTTCATGTTCTTCTTGACTTAATTGTTGGGTTGAGAAGTCTGCTGTAATTCTGATGGGCTTTCTTTTATAGCTGATTTGTCTCATTCTGTTCTTCTGTTGAATTTCTGGGATGTTGATTATTATATGTCTGGGTGTAGTTTTATTTTGGTGTGGCTAATTGGAGTTCTGTATGATTCACTTATGTGTGTGTTAGTTTCCTTTCCATGTTTGGCAATATTCTGGCTATCATTTCTGTAAATAGTCTTTTGATATCATTTGTGTTGTCACCTTTTAATTTATACCTATCATATTGTTTTTCTTTGCATCATCTTGCAAGTGGTTCCTTGTTATTTCCTGATTCCTTGTTATTTGTAAAGATCTTTCCTTTCTTGTTCACTAACTGCAATCTTGGAGGTCTGAAAGTATGTCTTCATATTCATTGAGGCAGTTTTGCCAGCTTTTGATGGAATTTTTGATTTCCTTGGTATCTCTTTGAATCTGTTTCATGCATTGTTTCTTTCTTATATTGTTCATTCAAGGTTTTCATCTTTTTGCAGTGCTCCTCTATTTTTTTTAACTATATCTTTTTTTAGATGTGTTTAGCACTTCATTTATTACTTTTATCATTTCTTTTTTGTTACCTGGGAGATTATTTCTGATCTGAATTCCTTTACAGCCTCATGGAGTTGTTTCTTTATTTCTGTTGCTATCATTTCACAAGTTTCAGGTATGTGGCTTATGCTTTCTTCTATGTCCATGTCTCCTAGGCTTGTTTGGGAAGGGCTGGAGGTTTGAGATTGCATTTTGCTCTTTCATTTTGTCATTTTTCTATATTTCTCTGTGGCAGCCAAATGCAAAGTCTCAGTGGTTTTCTGAGTTGAGGATGTCGGTCCATACTGCAGGGAGTTTCTCCGGTTGAGTGGAAGTCATTAGTCAGGCCTTACTGGGTCCCTAGTGGCACTCAAAGTCTCCCTAAATGGGGGACATACATTGAATAGACCTTCAGAACAACCCACCTGCCACTCTGAAGCTCCTTAGCTGCTTGATACTGCTGGGCAGGACCATATCATGTTCTGAGTGACATACCAAGGCTGAACTAGATGGAGTACACTGTGCAAGCCTTCATCTCATGCTGTAGGGCACCCAATCTCCCCAGCTTGAGGTCACTGGGCAGGGCCCTATCATATTCTGAGCAAGGTGCCAAAACTGAATGACTTGGTTCGCTGTGCAGATCTTTGGCTTGTGCCACTCAGCGCAGGAAGTTTCCCTGCTACTTGGGGTTGGTGGGCAGAAACCAACCAGGACCTGAGTGATGTACCAAAGGTCGCTGGCTGTTTGAGGTCATTGAGTAGGGCCCTACCAGGTTTTGAGCGAGGTGCAGAGGCTGCACAACTCAGTAGAGTTCGCTGTGCAGATCTTCAGCTTGCACCACTTAGTGCAGGAGGTTCCCCTGCTACTTGGGGTTGCTGGTCAGGGCCCAACCTGTACACATGATTTTTTGGGGGGGGGTACTGGGGATTGAACTGGGGACCTCACACTTGTGGCGCAGGCACTTATGCTGCTGAGCTAAACCCCTGGCCTGTACACACTTTGCAAGAGGATGATTTTATTCACTATATGATGTGGGATCCAAATTTGATGTTTAATTTTTAAAAAAATATTATAGTAATGTATAGCCATTAACCATCTCAAAATATTCCTTTCCTTCGAACACAGTTCTTGCCACTTTCTGAAGCAGTTCTGTTAGTCATGGCTTTATAAAGGGTGATTTAAAAATAATGAATCCTGCTGCTGAGTGTCATCCAATGGAAAGGCAAGTTTGTAAAAACATCACCATGTGTTCTCATCCACTTTATTCACCAGACGTGGCATCTTATGAATTTTGGCTCAGTCCAACCTTAAAATGACCATGAAAGGTGTCTTAGTTACTTTTCTCATTGCTGAGACAAAATATCCAACACCCAAGGTTAAAAGAAGAAAGGTTTATTTAGTTCACAGTTTGGCTTCAAAGCAGGGTGGTACATGGCAGAGGGCAACACTGCATGGTGATGGAAGACAGAGAACCCAAGCAAAGGGAGAGACAAGCCTCTTTCTGTCCTCCATATTGTAACCAGTCTGTAGGGATTAGGGCAGTGCCAATTCAAACAGTGGAGCAATCCATCAATCACCCACCCTTAATCCCAGCACCCTTAATCCCAGCATTGCACTACAAACCAATCACACACTTTAGCTCCAGCCACCTCTGAAAAATTCCTGTGACTACATGAGGCTCTGGGGAGACATTTAGACACAAACCACAAAAGGTGGACATTTTAAATTGATTCATAATAGCCAGCTGGGCATGGTGGTGCATGCCTGTAATCCTGGCACTTAGAAAGCTGAGGCAGGAGGATCATTAAGAGTTCCAGCCACAGCCAGAGTTACACTGAGTTCAAGTTCAAGACCATCCTGGACTACATAGCAAGACCCTGTCTCAAAACTGTATATATATATATATATATATATATATATATATATATATAACAATACTTTTTAAAAACTTAAACACTCACTGGAGTTTTAAAAAATCCAATCTCATTTTCTTTGTACAATTAGGCATTTTTTTGCCATTGTGTGCATATTAAAAAGAGAAATGATTAGGAAAAATCACTCCTATTGACAAGAAAGTTCTCCTACATAGGTAGTAACGGGTTTCTTCCTCTACCTCCCCCATGAGCTAGCAGGGGCCCATGTATGTCTTCATCTCACGTCCATGCTAGATTTACTCCAGGACTACCTGCTTAGATATATTTGCTCATTCATATTCTATTTCTTTCCCCTCTCACATTACTTCAGATATAATTTGAAGAAAGTGGAAACTCAATATAGGTGATCCACAAGCAAAGCTAACGAAAGTAACACTTTTTTGTATAATTAATAATATAATTTCTGATTATAGGACACATTCTGACTATAGGACACATGCTTTCTGAATTATACTTCATTTAGGCTGTCTTAATAGGTTTCTAGGGCATAATACACACTGTAACAGTATGAAAAATATTTCCAGAGCCCACTGGAAAGTTGGGAGAAGCCAGCCAGGACTAAAAACTTGTTATGGACAAACTACTTACCAATACAGGTTCAAAATTCTCTTCTGAGAATGAAGATCTGAAGCTGGACTGTGATGACACATTAGTAACATAACCAGAGATAACTGTCTTTTCATATTTGATTAGCATTTGGATAATACCCCAAATCCAATCAAAGTGACCTGACCATAATTTCAAGGAAATAGTTCTACACATATTTCTAGTATTAAGAAACCTCATCAACTATAATGTGTTCTTTTGGAAGACATAATTAGTGGTGGTAGGAAATACATGATATCCATAAAAATGGCAAGTTGAAAAGAAAGCAATGTCCACGCATCTGAACAATGCAAGTGAACCAATTATCCTTTGGTTCAGTTGGAAATGCTTGTCCTAATAGGTCATATGTATCAAGGAAAAGTCCCATTTCTGGCAATAATTCCACATTCCCTGTGCCACCTTCTTGAGTATGGTTTCCTCACAAAGCTGACCTGTAGCTGGCTTCACTGGTAGCCAGTGTAGTCTTGTAAGACCTATGATGGTTCTTGGAATCATTTTAGTTTAACTTCCCAATTTAGGAATGCTCTTTGCTTTGTTAAAGCTTTGTGGAACCGATTAGGTCAAAAGAGCTCTATCACGAATGGGATTGAGGGCTTCTGATTAAGAGGCCTATCAGAGCTTGTTCAGGCCTTTTGCCACAAGGATGCAACAAGAATGCATCATCTTGAAACTAGCCAAGTCTGCTAGTGCCTTGATTTTAGACTTTACAACCTCTAGTCCATGAGGAATAAATTGCTCATTAATTACAGTGTGAACTATTTTGTTATAGCTACCTGAATCGATTAAGACATTTCCTAACTTCTGATAATGTCCTGCTCTAGAATCACCATCTGTGATCCTTTAAAGAAACTGACTGCAAGAGAAACCCTTCAGCTCCTGTTAAGGCTACTGAAACTCAGATCCACTTTGTGAGGTAAATATTTAATGGTCTTACATTTATTTTGTCTTAATTCGAAGTAGGGAAGAAAACAAATAAAAGTCTCATTTTATTTTATTTATCAATAGTAACCAAAAAAATCAGGAGTTACAAAAACAAGTTAAATGCAGTATGGAAGCATACTAAATACAGATAATATTTTTTCAAACACACAGGTCATAGAAACCTGTTCAAATTGTTTCCTGAAGTGTGACTATTTAAACCATAGATGTAAAGACATTCAGACTGGTTCAGATGCACTTATTAGCAGGTGGAGGAGCCCTGTTTTTCAAAAATAGTAATAGTATCCAGAAGGTTTCCATGGACCCTGGATCTGAACAGACACTGTATGTTTATAAAACCATACACATAGAGAAAGCCTAGGAAGTTCACGGTCTATGTCCTATATGATTTTCAAAAGCTAAAGGAACTGAACCTGATTTAATCGTGCTTGTTTGCTCCATGCAAAGCTCTATGCAAAACTCCCTAAACTAGGCTATTTAGCAGCTTTCCATGAATGGCCCTCATATCACTTGATCCTATGGTGCAGGCAGCAGCTGCCCTATTTACACAGAAGCAGCAGACTCAAGAGGAATGTGGCTCTGCTCTTGGGAATTCAGTGTTGCAGGGTGGGACAGAGTCTTGGATGGTAATTGCTGTTCTAAATGTGACCAGTGAAAAGACATTGTAGCTTCTTGCTTTCAACAAACTGGTACTCTTGCCCTCTCCCATGGTGTCCAAGAGCTGGCAAAACTTCCTTTGATTAAGGCATGCTGCTGTGGGTTCTCCAAGGCACTTGGACAGGGAGCTGCATTTCAGACTGCACACGGGTTCAAAGAGAGCTTCTTAAAAATAGGATGATACATAAAAGTTCAGAATTCTAACTAACCAAAGTGAAGTTTTCTCCATTCAGATGAGAACCAGGAAAACTAGAAGGAATTCCTTTTCTGGCACAAATTTCTGTTGTCTGTGCAGTACCATCTAAATACTTTCTCTTTGAAGATCTGTATCTTGATTTTTCCAAGTGAAATCAAGTTTTTGATCTTTGTTATGACAAATGTATCTGAAACATGGTAATGACTTTTAATGATCAGGAGCCAAAAGACACGAGTATAATTGCAAATAACTAACTTGTCCATGGCTCAGTTTACAGACTCAGTCTCCATTGTTTACTCCTCTTGAATCTGAAACTTTCTTTTGGCCTCAGTGCTAAAGAGAAAGGTCTTTCAGCCACCAACTAGTTGCACATGACATGTATGGTTGAAGACATGCATGGTTCCCTCACCCTCTCTTGGGCTGGCTTTCCCAGCAAGGCCTCCAATATCAGCACAAAAGCTCACTCAGACTGAGGTTAAACTTGGCTATCTTATTTTTCGGCTACATGACTTTTCTTATTATAATAAAGTTTCATTTATCCTAAGGAGAAGGACAAAATTCACAGGAACCTGTCATCCTGTGGAAAACTGCCAGAATCACAAAATTTATAATTTATCAAATCAAAAGTTTAATGCATTTCACTGCTTAAAATCACTCTGCCAACGTTACTGGCAGATCAATGAGCAGATTGCTAGGCTGCGACATGCTAAGCCTCCATCCTTTGGAACAGTGATTTAACTGACCATCTCAGAGTAAATGAGCACAACTTAACTTCTCAGCTCTTGAAGGAAGTCTTACAAGAAATGCTTCCTCTTCCTCTGGCTTCTGTCCAAGTCCTCGCTCCCCCCTTGGCACACAGCTGCCCTGCTAGAAACCAAGGGGTCACTTTGGGTTGCATCTAGTCTAGCCTGTGGGAGGCTCAGGGGTGTCTGGATTATAGAGATCCCTGCATCAGGAAGAACTCCAAACTCTCCACCTCAGAAATGGTAGAACTACTGAAAAAATAATTATAAAAGCTTAATACCTAGTCAAGAAAATACAACATAAAACCACAACAGTATAATGATAATAATCGAAAAACAAAGTCAACTTACCAAAAAAGAAAAGAAGTGTTTTACAGAGAAGTAGCACCTTTGGTAACACATACTTTAAAAGTTTGGTTAGATCTCTATAGGGCTCAAAGTATCCAAGTATCTGCATCATTTGGGCACACCCTCTTGGAAACTCCATCCAAGTCTCAGGGATGGGGGTCACTAGCAGGATGGTTGTGTCTAGAGGAAGTGGCCAGGACCAAGAGGAGAAGCAAATGTTGGGCATCTGCCATGCTGACAGCAGTGACAACAAGGTCGGAAGCAGAATGTGGTCCGTGACCTCAGAGAGGCGTCATATCTGGGTCTGAGCCTTCCCTTCCCTTCTCCGGGGACTCCCTGCCCAGCCTTCTGGCATTGCATTCATGCCCTACAGCTGCTCACAGCTGCTGGGACTGCAGAGCGGCTTCGTCTCTGGGTCTGCCCTCTCCTAAACCGATGCAGCTTCCTTACTTGCCTCCAGCCCCAGAGCATCATTTACAGTTTTTCTCAAAGCTCTCCTAGAAATGAAGGCCATGGCCCATCCCCTCCTACCAGCTACCCCATTATTGCAAAACAAATAAACAAAGTGAAATCTGTTGCTATACAAGCAAATACTGGTGATTTGGTGATTGTGGCAGACACTTGGTATACTGGACTCCGCGCTGAGGGGAAGAGAAGGTGCTGCACTCCAGACACTCTTCCTGTGTGCCTCTTAGACTTCTTTGGCGCTCACCCTCTTGGTTTTTACAGCTGTGTCCTTTGAAATGCGAAAGAAAATAATCATCATGGAAATACTTAACAATACAGTGCACCGGCAGATGAATGTTGATGCTGAACATCAGTTGTTTACTTCTCCAGCTCCTCTGTGGATGGCTGAGCACCTTAAGGGCAAGGAGCACATCCTTTTCAGGACAGGATGCCACAGGGGCTGTTTACTACATTATGAAGCAATCTCATCGGAACTCCTATGAAACAAACTGATTAGTATGATTTCCACCTCAGGGATAAAGAAAGGATACAAACTGGAAATTATACAGGATGTTGTGACTCAAACAAGACCTAGAGAATTAAGACCACTGGGTTCCAGGCAGACTGCTTCAGTTTAAATTTGGAAGTGCTACTTTCTTAGTGACTTTGGGCAAGTTGTGAAACCTCCTGTGTCTCCACATCTTCTACTACAATCCGAGGGTAATAAGAGGTGAACTGTTACAGCAGAGCCTGAAACTGTCCTCCAAAAAGGATACAAAAAGGGCCAATAGGGATCGGGGATTTAGCTCAGTGGCATAAGCGCCTGCCTGGCAAGTGCAAGGTCATGAGTTTGATCCCTGGCACAAAAAAAAAAGGCCAACAAAAATGTCTAATACCATCCACATTAGGCAATATAAATCAAAGCCTCAAAAAGGTTCCACTTCACATCAACTGGAACAACTAGATACAGAAATAACGACAAATTTTGGCATGGATGTGAATTTAAACATGGAGTTACCATCTGGCTCATGAGTTCCATTTCTAAGAATACAGGCCCACACACAAACATGTATAGTAGTATTCAGTGCAGCATTATTTCTTGCAACCAAGAAACTGAAACAAACTGAACACTTATTGAATGATGAGTGAATACGTAAAGTGTGTTATATCCATGCCATGAAATACTACTGAGCCATAGAGAAATGAAATACCGATTCATGTTACAAGGATGAATCTTGAACACGTTATGCTCAGTGCAAAAAGTCAGACAGAAAAGGCCATACCTAGTATGATTTCATTTACACAAAATGTGTAGAATAGGCAAGTGCATAAATAGGGAAAATAGATTAGTGGTTGCCAGGGCAGAAGAAAGTGACTTCTAATGCCATTTTTCTGTGGAATGCTGAAAATGTTCTGGGATTAGTGGTAACAGCCAACACATTTTTGTTTTTGTTGTCGGAGATAGGGTCTTGCTATATGTAACCAGGGCCGGCCTTGAGCTGATGGTTATCCTCTTGCCTCTGTCTCCCAAGTGCAGAGATTACAGATGTGCACCACCATACCTGATTTATAACACTCTTACCATATACTAACTGGATGGAATTCATTAAAAGGGTGATTTTATAGTCTGTGAATTATACCTTAATTTAAAAAAAGGAAAAACACTGACAACAGGGGCTGGTACTCCAGCAGACATGACTGGTTCAGTTCAGTGAACACTGGCCTTCCTACTGCTATCCTAAGGGCTTTCACTGGCTTTGAGGACCCATCCTGTCCACACATGGTGATGGCCAGAAATGCTAGGGAATTAATGTCTCCTGGTAGCAATCCTCAGACAGTCACTAACGGAGGTTTTATAGTGATCCCCTAGCTCCCTCCCCCTTTGAGCTCTATAACTGTTTCCAGAACTCCCCACAGGATTATGCTGTGTGTGCCCATCCTGGTACCATGTCCAAACATGCTCTTTATTGCTTCCTTCCTGGACACATTTTCCTACTCCTCTCCTGCTGTTTCCTGGGATTGGCTCCCAAATAAACTGTCTCTACTTGAGTCTCTGCTTCCAAGTAAACTCCCCTAAGACAGATAAACCTACAAATGTGAACTACTGGCATTCACTGTTCACTGTTGCTCCACTATAATTTCTCCACCCTCAGGTAAAGGAATTCCTGCAAAGTTTTATTCCCCTTCTGTGTCATGGGGTTATGCTCATTGGACACTCAAGACTGATGAAATGGAGAAGACTAGAAGTTTCTGCTTAAACAAGTAAGATTTCTACGTGATCAGTAAGGACCAAATGCATTTAAAGAATGATCAACCAATACGGGCACTAATTAATAATAATTGCTATCTCATGAGCTTAGCAGCTCTTGTAATTATTAAATTCTCTAAAAACTTGTATCTCCGGGAGAAAGCTTTTGCTACCAGACCTGGTATACAAGTATGTAAAGTATGGTCTAAGATTGAGTTAATGCTACATGATAAGTCAGTGGCTGGACTAAGATCAAATATTGTCACAATACGTCAGTGTGTCTCTATTTTGATAAGGAACCTTTCCTCAAGGCGGGCTTCAATTTAATGACAGAAAGACTGAACACAACTCTCAGAATCTTCTTGGGCCTCTAGGAAGGTGAAGCTTTGTCAGTCACACATTATTTTCTAGCCTGATGCACATCTGTCTTTAATTCCTTATACGGTGGTTCAAGTCCACTCATTTCCCCTTCTCTTGAGTGCAGACTGTATACCTGGCCCTGTGCCACATACAAGGGCACAGTCACATGCAAATTATGCTCTCAGGAAGTACGTGATCTTTGAATTTGAGTACAGGTCACAACAGGAAACATTAATACTAATACTTCTCTGATCATGCTCAGTTGTAAACTTCCACTGGCTGAATCCTATTTATGTAGTCACTTACCCAGCTATAACCTACATCTGCTGGGAACTGTGGGGCTGGGCTACAGCTCCATAGGCGGTATCATTCAGGATCTACTGCATAGAACTAAGTATGTCTCTTTGGTCTCTGGAGCACTGGAAGCATCTGAGTGGTGTAAAGGCCTGGTGGCAGCAGCAATAGCTGAACCATCATGGTGGCTGTCACTCACCTGGTGCTTTTGAAGCTCTTGGACATATCGGGTCATTTCTTCCTCTGTTTGGGTCTGGGCCCCCTTCTGATTCTTTCCTGCAAGAAGAACCAAAGCTCAGAGTAGTGGTGGCTATGTTAAGTCAAGAGGGACCCAACTAGCTTGGCTGTATAGATCCTAAGTCATCTCCCATTTAACCTATGGGAGGAGAGGTACATCACCCACACCTACATGTCCCTGAATATAAAGGCATTAAGGGCCCTATGCAACTAACACCAAAGGGTAACAGACTGTGACCAAGCAGGCTACCCCAACTCTTCTCTGGTCTCTTATTCCTAAGGTCTCCTTCAACTGCTCAGCATGGCTCTATAGAAAAAGTCATGCAGAGAATTTGTGTCCTGACTCAGCCAATTTTTCTGGGGCAGTGAGTCTCCACCACTCCCATGACCTCAAAATATCCTAGAGAACATTTTAAAATGCAATTCCTGGTCAGGATGTAACTCAGGGGCAGAGGACTTGCATAGCATGTGCAAAGCCCTGGCTTTGATCCCTAGCACAGCAAACAAACAAACACAGTTACTTAATTTTCACCTTTGTGGAGTCTACTTTAGGAAATCCTGGACATCTGGTTTTTTTTTAAAGGATCTCTAGGTGACTCTGACGTGTAGCCAGGATTGATAACCATGACATCTAGCAATGTTTCCCACTAATACCACTAAAACTATACAGGTTCTCTAGCTCTTCTTTTTGCAGATTCTAATTCAGAAAGTTTGGGACGGTGCCCAGGAATCCGTGTGTTTTCAAACACAACATTTACCATAAGTAAAGACTAGACATCAGCATCGATCTGTCCCTCACAAGTTTCCCTTGGCCTATGCGCCATCTGGCTTTAGATCTCAGGTGTTTTCTTCCCTTTGGTGTTTGTGGTCTAAGCCTAGACTGCTTTCACATATGAGCCTCTACAACTTCCTCTAAATTCAAGGTCTACACACTAAGATGTGCTGAGGCCTCAGGGTACCATCTGTATTACTTGTTTTTTTTTTTCCTTTCAGTGTTGGATTAGAACCTAGGGCCTCAAGCATGCTAGGCAAGCATTTTGTCACTAAGCTACACCCCTGGGTCCTGGATTGTTGTATATATATATGTACAGAACTCTGAACTCCAGCCTTCTTGTGAATAAGGGAAGAAAGGAGAGAGGGAAGCAGACAGGGAAATCTAGAGCTCTGTGTCAATGGAAACAGGCAGTATCTACGCAGTGAAAATTTGGATTCTGTCTGATGCAACATTTGCAGATGGTCATGCTTAGGATTCTATGAATCTGCTATGCACCAACTACGGTGTCTTAGAAACAGAGTGCTACTTTTATGAAGCCAGATCAGGAGCAGTTGTGGATAGACACTGGAGGGAGCTTGAAAAAGATGAACATAAAGTGATTCCTGGTCAAGACAGGCTGAGCCACTGTCCCAAGATATTCTCTGGTGGCTTCAGTAGCTAGTGTATGTGTAGCCTCATCTAAGTCTCTACTAATCTTTGGCTTCTCTGTAGCTCAGGACTCAAAAGAGTACCAAGATACCGTTTAGCTTCTGTCCCATATCCCAAACTCTAATTCTGTTAAGTTAAAGACTGTTCACAGGCATTTATCCTTTTTTCTGCCAGGTAAGACAAGGTAGAGTCATTCTGTCTTCCAACCACCTGAGTCTTTCACACACAGTATTTTCTAAAGGTCATAATGACTAAGCCCAGTCTCCATCTGGCTTCAGATCTCACATACTTTTCTTCCCTTTGGAATTTTTGGTCCAAGCCTAGTCTGCTTTCAGGTATGAGCTTCCTCTTAAATCCATGGCTTACACATCAAGATGTGCTTATATTACCCCAGGGTAGCACCATCTGGGGTAATATAAATCACAGTTTGCTTTCCCTGTATCATCATTCCAGTCTGACAGCAACATTTATTCATGCTCCTGGCCTTAATCCTCTCCTGTTTGAAGCCACTGGAGTGATTTTCAAACTTGTACATCGGGAACAAGCACTTTGCCTGCCATGTGACCCTTGACACTCAAAGCCTAGGTCTGCCACTTGTTTCCTGGGCTCGTTGTGCCCCAGTACCACTATCCTCCCCATTGTCCCCAAGCTGACTTCTCATGCGGCTCTTGACCCCACTGCTCCTTCTGTCTGAGGTACAGCTCACCATCACAGGTCAGGGCTGTGCACACCCAGTTTCCACAGGCACAGACACAGCGGTTACAGTCCACCTCAGTCTCAGCTCCATCTGCGTACGTTTCATCCTCCAGAGCACATTCTGTGGGGCCAGAAAGAAGGGTAACAATTTGGCTGTTAGGCTGAAACAGTTTGTGCACCTTCTCTTTCCCCAGAGACACTGTGGCTAAGTAAATGCTCCCATCAAAATAAAGACTTAGACCTTAACTTCACCATGCCGCAGACGGACTGCATGCTTAGTCTATAATCACGGGAGCAGAATTGGCAGCCAGCCCTGTAGAGTTCTTCCAATCATCTCCATTTTGGCCCCCCAAATGCCTCTCTGCCCAACAACTCTGGATTTCTAGATTAAGCTTACTCTTCTCAGGAGGGTTGAAGGATGGATTGAGGCACTTGAGGAATTCTTGGAAGCTGAGTTTCCAATCAGCGTTTTCATCAGACAGTTCAATGAGAGCATCAACACACAGTCCCCTGAAATAAAACGGGGAGAGAGGGAATGTGTCAGCTAGACCTCAGCTTCTCTCTGGAGAAAGGAAGCATCAGTCTTAGATACAGCCAGGAACTCCTGGAGGCCACGAAAGTGACTATTCTCTGAAAACTTGTCCCTCGGCATTGATCTGTTACAACCATTATCCACCCCAACTCCCCTGAGCATCTGTAACCGTCAGTTTATTAAACTAGATGTCAGTATCACTTAAGCTGTTCAAATGTTCCCCTACAATGATGAAAGTTTTATGGACAGCTTTTACTGACAAATGCTTTCACCACCTGCACACCTTTCTCTAGTGAAGGCCTTTCCTACATGTAACTGTGCAATGAATCAGACCAGAAAAATCTTTTGAACAAAAGTCAGTTGCTTTTCCTATTTTTAATTCTATCTACACACTGGGTCCATACTAGAAGTTTCTTATGGGTTAATTTTTATTATCTACAATAATAGCAGAAAAGGGGAAGGATATGTATTTGTATCAATTAGAGATGTATACATGAGACCATACTGATTATCTTAAAATCAGAATTGAAGCTATTATTGAAGCTACTATTAGATAATGGGTCAATGTATTCCTTCAGAAAATTAACCGGTAAAATACACCCATATCACTCAGAAACCAGTTTTTTCTGATGTGACCTTGATCAGCAATTTTAAAATGACTTCTTCTTCCTTACATGTTTTGGCCAAAAGGGTAGTTACTTGATCATAATCAGTGTTGCTCAATATATTAGTCTATCATGCTCACAGCATAGAATAAGAGAGAATTTACATTTCCTCCTATTATTTCACAGCGGCCCTGGTGTCTGGGTAGCACTGAGAGGGCCTCAAATTCTCCCACGCATTCTTTCCCCACGGTCTACATCCTGAGCCTCCCTCCTCTCACCGTAGCAGCTTGTTGTTCTCCTGGTCTGCATAGGTGGTGATGTTGATGGCAGTTTCATTCTGCTCCACAAATTTCAGGAATTCACTGGAGTCCAGGCGCGAGTCACCATTATCAAAGTGCTAGGAAGGGGATTAAGAGAGCTTTCAAAACTGTGTTGTAAGATCTCCACCATCCTGGGACCTATTTCAGCCCTCCCTGGCCCGGTCTCAAAGAGCTGAGTAACCAAAGCTGTAGCTGCCCAGCATCTGAAGAAAGCACCAGTACCCTGAGACGAGTGAGTCACACAGTGCCTGGGGACTCAATCGAGTTCCTGCTGGTGAGGTGCAGTTGGATGGGTTCCAAATTGCCCCAGAGGCCAGGGTATCCAACAGCACTCTGTGGCCTATCCCTGACACTACCTTGCAGATATTCTCATCTATATTCAGGGGTTCAAACCAGCCCCCAGCCCTTGCCCGAACTGTCACTCACATGTAACATGAGTATAAATTCATAAGCCATGAACCAGAATCTCATGAAGCCCAGGATGTGTGCTTCTAACAAGGAGCAGCAATATAGGCGATCTCCAAGATTCCCTTGGGAGTTGCACAATTCTGTCTTGCTGTTTCATTAGTAGCTTCCTTGTACTTAACTCAGGGCTTAAGTTTCACACTGGTCTGGGGAACCTACCGCATGAGTGAGAACTCACAGGCACAAGCACCAAGTCAGTAAGCTGTGGGCAGGGCGGCTGCAAAGTCCCTGTCCCTCAGCTCTGTGCTGTGGTCCCCCTGTAGATGTGTGCACTGGTCCTCAGACATCCCCATGCAGGCTATCCTGATGGCTCACCCAACATCCCTTGGACATGAGGTAAGAGTGTGAGGAGCTCAGGCACTGTGCTCTCCACAGCAAGGTCCTAAACAGAGACCTCAGCCACCTGGTACCATTCCTGATGCTGAAGCTTTAGGTGCAGGAAGGAGGGGTGTCACTTTCAAGACTCTAGTCCAATGCCAAGTTGGACACTGTTGCTTTTCTAACTAGTTCCATTAATATCTTTCTCTGGCTCCCAAATTCTTTCCCTAGGCTGCCTGGGAAATGGTCAGCACCCCACTGCTACTTTTAAGGTGACTCTCCAGATGGTGCAAGGGATTTTGGGAGAAACATAGGCCCTGGGTTTCTAGGTAGGAGGGAAAATGTACCTGTAGACTCTTATCACTGTCATTTGCATGCAAAACTTTCCAGGCCACACACAGATATATATATAAAACAGCTACTAGACCCTTGGCTAGAACCTATTTATTATTCTTGTCCCAATTCCCAGACACAGTTTCACATACTCCTTATTCACTGTGCATTTGCCCTGAGGAAATTTCCCTAAGGGTTGCCTTGTGAGGTCTTGGTTAATTAAAGGAGAGTAAATAAGTCAGCTTGGCCAGCAGGCATTGTTAGGAGCAAAGGATTTTCTTGATTCCAAATGTTGCACGTCGAGGTCAACAAAAACAACCCTTAGAGAACCCCAACATCACCAGGGCCTCGTGACAGAGTGTAGGGAAGGGCTTAGTCCTGCCCTGGCTGCAGACCCACTGTGGAGGGCCCATGTGGGCACCTTGAGCTTAGCCATTGTAGCCAACAAGGTGGCTCTCAAAGGGAGTGCTTGTGTGCACACTTGTAACATCAGGGCCCAAATGATGGCTGTAAGATGAGGGGGCATCCTAGCCTGCTTGCAGTCTTCTCTTAGCAGGGTGAAGTTGGAGCTATTCAGGACAGAACTCCATGTGGAATCCACACAAGCCCAGAAGCCTGGTACTTCCCCCAGAAACAGCAGGAAATGCCTGCACAGTCTTGATCTTGGATGGTAATCCAACCTCATTCACTCAACCTGTTTCAACCAGCCAGTCACAAAGACAGCACTTCTGTACCCCTTTCTTCCCCAACTCTCTATCTGAGACAACGTTTTCCTTCTATGTAACTGCAGGGTTGTGGTGAGGCAGAATGGATGGTTGGTTGAGGCTGGATGGCTGAGGCTCACTGTTGTAAGTCTGGAAACTGTTTAGAGATGGGCTGAACCCCAGCACTCACACACAGTAGCTGGGACGACGCAGTAGGTGACACCAGTGTAAGGGGAATAAAAGGCTGGCTCCAGTGTCAGTCTGGTCTCCAGGAGTCTGCCACCTGGTGTGACATGAAAGGCTCTTCCAGGGCCTTTCCTCTTCTTTATTCTGTTATGCTTTACCTAAGAAATAGGGCCTAAATCACTGGCTGAGGTGAAAGGCAGATTTTGGCCATATCCACATTCTAATTAGATTTGCTTTTCCACTATTTTGGTGTAAGGAATGTCAACTTGGTTGGAGCACAAGTCACTAGGTAGTTAGTAGTTCATGAAGAGTCTCCTGGAGAGCTCAGCTCTCTCACTAAAGGACCTACTGGGTCCAGAGGAAGATATTAATGGAACTAGTTAGAAAAGGACCTACTGGGAGGTATCGAGGCGAGTGTGGCCCGGGTGCCTGGAAATCAAGCCGAAAACCAGGTGTCAAAGATGCCCAAGGCTGGGTGCCACCAAAGGACTGCTACAAATGGACACAAGGTCCCAAGTGGCCCCACAGCTCCAAGCTCTAATTACAGGGACAAGTCTCTGCTCATAACAGGCCCTGCAGTACCACACACTCGGTATTGGAAAACATGGCTTTAAATTAGTTTTTGTTCCTATCCAGCTCCTGCCCAGCGAAGTGCTATGTTTTTCTATAGAAGAGGAACTGCCCTCAGACAAGGGCTGCCCTGTGGGAGTGACTGAAACAGGACAGAGTGAGTAGACTTGTGCTCTCTCATTCAGTCAAATCTCAACAATGTGGAATCCAGAGATTTCAGCTCTGTCACAGTTTCTCTAAACTTTGTCTAAAAACATCAGCACAATAGAAATCTTCAGCAACCAAAATTCCTTTTATCTTGGGATAAAATACTGATTTGGATCAGTATTCCTCTGTGGGATCCACAAAACCAGTTAGAAGAATTCGTAGACCAAAAAGACTGGTATTGAGAACACACAATGGCCTTGGGGTTGCCAAGAAGTCCCTCAGGTGTCTGGGACAGCACGGCCTGGAAGGAGGCACGGGGAGCACAGCCTTGGGAGGAGCATCTGAGGCATGGGTCTAGAGCTGTGTCTGAAAATGATGGGGGACCTATGGAAATGTGGGTGTCTGAATGCATGTATGTAGCATGTGTCTCTGTGTGGCACTGTCCAACCTGTAGCATGTGACTGTTCATTTGTCAGCACTTCTGAGTGCTTATCTGAGTATTCCCATGAATGTGCATATGTTCTCGTCACCATCTAGAACAGTACGCCCTCAACTGATTCTTCTACAACTGTCAAACTTTCAGAAAGATCTTACATCATTTCCTCCTTTGCTTTCCTGTTTGAAAGCAGCAGCTCTCCTGGCTTCCACTGGAACTCTGTCTCCTCCACTAGATAGGAGGAGCCACAGCATGGTGGAGGCTCACAAAGAATCTCTGAGCCCTGAAAATGCCAGCCTGTGAGCTCTTGCTGATGACGAAGCTCTGCAGGCTGTGAATGATCAAGATGGTAACTTAGAAAAATGTCGAGGGAAAGAGGCTGAAGAGGTTTGGGACAAGGTGGGCTCAGAAGGGCCTTTGTAGCAGCAGTTCTGCTCTGTAAGGCAACACGTAAGGTAAGGGCCAGAGCATGGCCACATTTCTTCCTGACAGTCTCTCTAAGACATCTGTGGTTTAACTGTCCACTGGGAGCAGCATTTGTGGTTTGGATTCCAGAGCTGACTTCTGGCTTCCTACTGACCAAGTACATCACAAAGCAACTTTCACATCTGTGTGGAATGATCTACGATGAGAGGCCATGCAGGTACTCTAAGCAGGTAAACAATGCCTCATAGCCAGACAATGGGAGGAGGAAATTTTTCTTTCTCTGGGACTGAACAGTCTTAACCATGACGCCAATTACCTTAAAGTACTTGTCTAGGATTTCACTGTAGTTGCTGCCTTTAGAGAACCAGCCATCTGGAATGATCTCGGCTTCCAGCCACTGAATGATGCGACGCCGGAGCTCATCACGGTTGGCCTGATAGCAAACGACTGCAGGAAAAGGGAGGTGTGTCAGCTGGGTGTCAGTGACCCCAGTGTCATCTAGTACCCACTATCCATGAAGCTCAGTGTCCAGGCACTGCCTGAGTCATAAAATTTAGCCTTCATTGCACCCCGGGTAAGGGATGGTCACACCCAGAGTACAAAATTGGGAAGTGTCTAACCCTAGAGTCAAATTCATGTCTCTAAAACATTTATAAAAATTGAGAATGCTGAAACAGAGATTTTGTTGCTTAAGTCAGGATAACACAGAGCAGCAAAGTACAGCATATTTTCATTAACTTTAGGAAGCTGAGGGGGAAAAAAAATCAATCACCAACATGAGCCGAGACAGCACATGAATAAATGATAGCATTGTAATTCTTGAGATAACTGCATTTCTGATTTTTCTCCCTTTCACTGACTGGATCTATCAAAACTTTCTCCCATTTAAAATTTTATGTGACTTGTACCGTCCTCTATTATATGCAACAGAAGCAAGGATGAGATAAAGGGCCATGTCACGGCCCTGCTCTGGGCAGCTGTTGTAAGCCAAGTGGAAGCCACAGGTGGGACAGGCTTCAGGGGACGGCAGCTGGGAAGAGATCCTGGGGGATCCCTGCAGGGGGAGATCCTGGCAGACAACACACTTGTTGGAATGGGGGCAGCGCGCAGGGCTAGGAATGCACATGTGGGCATTGTTTTGCACTCTGCCCTTCCAGCTGTGTGAGGTGATGAAGCTCAGTCTCTCTCAGCCTGCATTTCTTCATCTGTGAGGTAATTACAGTGAGGTCCACCTCACCAGGAGGCTGCAGGGATGGGAGGAATCTGCAGCCCTGTGCCTACAAATTACGATTGGATTTTAATTTGTGCTATCAGAAAACCTTTAGAAGCCTTATTAGCACATCCAGCTGCCCCCTTTCAGAGGCCCCTTCCCTCGGCCTCCTGGTTCTGTTGGTCTGGTGAAGGGGGACTCTGGTTTCCTGTCCCTGATATGTAGCCACTGCTCAGCAGAAGTGGAGAACAACTAACAGTCTGCCTGTTTTAGTTGGAAGTGCCCCAAAAATGCAGTTTTGCAGTTTTCCTGAGCTGTGTCGAGGAGTGGTGGGTTCTGGGTCACACGTTCTGACACATGCAAAAGATCTTATAAGCTCAACAGAGATTTCCATTACAAAAAATTTCTTCCCCAAGACGCATGCACACAGCAGAAAGAGCCAGCACTTACCTGGACTGGCAGAAGGACTTACGGATTTCTTCTCTGCAAGACAGAAAAAGAAAATGTGTGCAAAGTTAAGAAACAGATAGCTGCATTAAAAAAAAAAAATAGCTGCATATTTCTAGGACAAAAACTGCCTCCCCAGCAAAGGAGTCTGTGTGTAGGTTTTCATCAGTGTGTCTTCCATGTTTTCTCTTTCCCTTCCTTCCACATTTTTATTACTTTTATTTAAAAAAATTTTTTTAAGAGCAGAATATATTTATTGAGAGAAAGAAAGCTTCTGTCTGAGGGACAGAAGGTGAACACAGGGGGTGCCAAAGACTCTGCCTTTTCTAGGGACTTTAGTAAAACCATGAGGTGAGACCAGTCCACGATGAGGAAAACCTGGAAACTTGCAAGGCAGACAAGCATGAGGCGGGACGAACTATGGTCAACCAGTAAGATTGACTGTTCAGGTAAAACTGACAAAATCAGGGACAAATAGGAAAGCGAGTCACGTAGTAAGCGGGTATTCTTACGGAGCAGTGACTCTTCTGATAGGTTTCTTTTCTTTATTTATTTTTTATACTAGGGATTGAACCTAGTACCTTTGCACTGAACTGTATCCCTAGGCCTTCTTGTCATTTTTATTTTGAAACAAGGTCTCTTAAGTTGCTACGTTGCCCAAGCTGGACTCAAACTTGCAGTTTTCCTGCCTCGGCTTACCAAATTGGGTGGAGAGCCCCTGAGACTCTGAGGTTTCTTATGGTGGAAAAGTTACATCTGTCTTTATGTGCTGTGCACTATCTCCCCAGTCCTGGAGTGCTGACAGCGTCCCTTACCTTTGCAGTGTCCGTCATAATCAACCTGAATTTTGGATCCAGTAAGGCAGGCATCTCGATGCAGCTCACAGTGGTTGAGGTAGGTCTTGCCGTTACTGCCACACACAGGCCTCTTGTGAGGTTTGCATTGCTGAAATAGACCCATGGGAGGATGTTTGTGTAGGCGTCGGTGTACACACACACACACACACACACACACACACACACATTCACACACTCACTCAACTCATATTCTAAATTCTTTTAGGGCCTCATTATACAGATTTATTGCTTTGTTTAGTATTTCAGAGCCATTTCATTTTCCTCCCAATTTCTCAACCATCGTTGCGAGGCTGGGTGGAGTAAAGAACTACAGAGAACAGTTACAGCCAGGAATATGGAATAAAGTTCATTTGGCAGCTAAGCTCGGCTTTGGCTGTCAAGATGGCCAAGATCATAGGCAAGTTCAGGGTTTTCTTTTTAGGTTTTTGTGGCTTTAAAAGGGGGAAGATATAGGGGGGAAGCAAATTTATCTCAGATCTAATAAAGGGACCAAAACAAAAAGAAGCAGATGAAAGAAAAACAAAAGGAAAAGAGAAGAGTATATGTGATAGTAAGGAACAAAATGCCGAATCTGCAAGGTAACCCTTCCCTCCAATTTTAGATTAAGACACTAAAGCCCAGAAAGGTAAACTTTCTTTATTCACTTAACCATTATCTACTGCGGAATTCCTACTATGTGTTACATGCTGAGCAAAATCAAACACGAGCTGTTTCTTCATGGTATTTCACAGGAATCCATTTCCTTAAAATCATACAACTGTACACGGCTGCACTGAGAACCCTGTGGCCAGGATGTTCCTAGTGCAGTCCTCCGGGACAAACAGAGCCCAGATAATATTAGGCGTTGTATTTCTGAGGTGGGAGACTTTCCTTTTGGGAGTAGTGTATCAGGGTTTTGAACTTGGGGGCTATGTTGAATGCATTTATGTAGAAAGACCTTTCAAGCACCATGTTGGTCTAGAATGATGTTTTTATATAAAATAGGGATCCTAATTATATATTGGGGCATATAAAATGGGGATTATGTTTATATTAGCATAGAGAGCAAGCTGTCAATAACAGTTTCCACAGACGAATGGGATTAGAAAGACACAAGGAAAGATTGCTAATTTTATGTCTGCATGAATGTCTATACTATACACAGGAATTTTTTTTTAATTTAAAAAAATCGCATATAGCTAAAGAAAAAGTATTCCTGCATCAAAAATCAGGAATTTGATTTTTAACCCCAGGGAAAAAAATTCTACATCTTTCACAGAGACAAAGAGCACTTTCATAACGATGATGAAATCACAAGTCATGTCCTTGGACTGGCTTTGGCCGCTGTCCACTGGTCCCTGACATCAGGACCTACCTCGATGCAAAGGCAGGTGGGCTCTCCTTTCTCTGTGACTGCACACTCCCGGCCAGCTCCGCAGAACACATTGGCACAAACCTTAGATTTGCTTCTTATTTCTTCCTGAAACACAAATCACGAAGGAAACCATGTTACTCAGGTGAGCCCATTATGGAATGAGCCAGTAGTGGTGACTGTTTGTAGTCTTAGACTTTGGTCTGGAATTGCAGCTCCTAGTGATGATGGACTTTGATTTGCCCAAAGTTGTCCCCATCTGCTGGCACCATACTCCCAGGCATTGCTCTTACCCAGAGGCACCTGCTCCCTAAGACTAATTTTCCAAAAGCAAGAGTTCCTTTCTTCCTCCCTTGTTAGTTTGAAGTTTAGTGAGCACATCTACTTTATGCCAACACTACAAACAGACTGGGTACACCAAGGACAGTCCTGGTTTGAAAGAAGTTTGAAGACCATCAGGAAGCAGACATTTAGAATAAGAATATACATGTATGTCACCAACACGAGCCCCAGGAAGCTGGAAGGAGAAGGTATAAATCAAATGATTCTTTCTGAAAATGTGATTCCTTCTGAAGCCTTACGTGATTCTGAAAGGTTGAGAACACCACGCCAATTAGAAATGGAAACACTGGAGAGAAATACAAACATTTCAAGGATCAAAACTTGACTGAGTGGTGTAAAATGTAGTATTATCAAAAATGGCAAAAGAAGGATGCTAAACCATGGAAACATGCATTTGCTGTCAGTTGGTATTCAACCCTTGTCTAGGTCTGCTCTGGTTTTAAAGTTGGAAGGGTCCAATTACCTCCAAAGAGAATAAACCACCTGAAGGTAGGAATACTTTTAAGCCACTTTCTGGTTCGGATTCCTGTTCAGTCATGGGCAGCAGAACTGACAAGGCAGGGAATGCTTAAAAACATGGGCAATATATGCACTAATGCGTTGGTGACAAGCTCCCTGCGCCCCTCCCATCATTGGAAGCAGAAAACCAACCCCATTTCATTTACCATTCAGCTCAGCAGTAACAGTGGTTAAATGAAGAGAATGCGATGTCTCTAGTCCCTCTCCCCAAGCAGCTAGGAAAGCAGAATCATCAAGAGCTTCCAGATCTACACCCACTGGGTTGGCAGTGGTTGTGAAAAATCAACAAAGATGGCAAGGGCCAGACTGGGGTCATGGGACTGACTGTGGCAAAAAAAAAAAAGTCTACGTTCCCGGCCATATTCACTATGTCCTGCAGAGAACTCACACTCAAGGGGTTGTAAGAGCAAAAATTCTTATAAGCCAGTAAATGCTTCATATCTCAGAACAGATCTTTAAAAGAAAAAAAAAGGAAAAAAAATACAGGCTTGAGAGCTGAAGACCAGTGCCCAAGACAGCTGGTTTGCTGCCACCTGGAGGCTACATGGCAAACTCCGAGTTATCTTTTTCTCCCATAACCCAGCTTGTGGGTCAAGCAGGGCTCTCATTGGTCTAGAAGTTATTTGCATGCTCTCATTTCATTGGTTCACATGCTGTTACAAAACCAATTCTTTTGTGCCAGTTGCTAAGGAGAATTCAATAAAGCTGGCAGGCAGGGAAGAAAAGAGGAAATAATTCCCAGAAGACTGGGGACTCTGGAGAGCTGTTGTTTCCTAAACAGGGAGTGCAGATAAAATCAGGCAAATTCTCCAGGCAGAGCCCACTTGTGGGAACTATTTAAAATAACTCCAGAAAGAAAGAGAAAAAGGCTACCATTAATCATTAAAAAAAAAAAAAAATCTCAGGGTAATCAGGTTCTCTTTCCTCTGTTAGACACTGTGGCTGTGTCACATGAGCTGCAGACACAAATGAATGCAAAATAATGCACTCAAGGACACACCACCAGCACCCAACTCGCCTAGCAGACACCCACAAACTTCCCCTAGCTGTGTGTCCCTAACTAGTCACTTTAATTCACTGAGACTCATATTTGTTAAAGAGGAGGAATTACCAACCTTGTCTTGTGAAGACAAAATTATATAATATACTTGGAAGTACCACAAACCACAAAGCCAGCTACTCATGATTAATGGAAACATTTTATAGTGCTGCCTGAAAAACTGCGGGTGGCAGTGACAGAGCCCCAGTTTCACTTAGGTTGTTTTTAGTGAGCATTAAAAATAAAAGCGTTTCCTTAATAACTGAATTCAACTCAAACGAGTGTTCAGAAATTGTTCCCCAAAATCCATTTGGAGAAATATACCTTTTACTTAAATGAGAACAAAATTTAATAGTACAATTAAAATTTATGAAGTGTTTCATATACCTAATTTCATTTTACTGTTCAGACAAATATGCATATTATCGTTTGCCCTGTTTTATGGAGAAGCAAATCAAGATCCCAAAGCTAAAAATGATAGGAACTCAGAGTCCAATCCAGATTTTCAGATTTCACTAAGCTCCCATTTATAAATACCTGGCATGCTGGTAAAGGATTTATTATATAATCTTGACAATAACTCCATAGATTAGACATCATTACCAACCACATTTCACAGACGAGGGAACTGAGTGTTAGTGGTTAAATAACCTAGAAAGAGACAAAACTAGAATTCTACTCAATAAAAAAAAGAGGATTATTTTTCTTATCCAGAGTAAGGCTAACGAAATAACAGTGGGGATGTGAATTGCAAATTAACAAGCAGCAGGAAAACTGCCTCGGAGATTTAGATTTGAATTACCCACTGTGTTCCTTACTTGCCATGGTCAAGGACAAGATTCTGTATTCTCTTTAAACCTCGGTTTCCTTAGGTACAGAGTGGGACGCTGACCCTCAGAGGGCTGCTGCCCTGATTTTAAACAAGGTATGCAGCGCAGTGCCCACCACACAACAGAATGTGGCCGTTACCACAGCGGACAATTTATTTCCGGTCTTTCCACTGAGATGCTGTCACTGCCCCCTCAGGCTGCTGTGTATACCCTAATTCTTCCCTCTCCTCCCTTAAATGGAAAAGAAATACTGAGAGCAACAGGATTGATGGAATAGAAAAAGCAAAGGGTCCAGGAGCCGCCATGGTCTGTGGCAGAGCACAGTGGATGGGGAGCCCTTAGCGAACCATTCCTCTTTGCAGGTGACACATCTGTCAATAGGTGGCAATCTCTCTCTGTCTCACACAGCCTGGAGCCGCAATGCAGACCTGCAGGCTCAGCTCCTGCAGCTCTGCTTTGCCCTGTCCTCTGGTAAAAGTTGGAGAAGCAGGAGGTGGGAGAACAGGGCAAACACCCTAGAGTGCAGGCACAGGGACCTGCTGTTTTGGGAAGGAATGTCCTCTTCTGCAGCCCTCAAAGTCCTCCCCACCTCTTCTCATTCACTGGTGTGATTTAACGCAGAGACTAAAAACACTGAAAGATCTTCTCCAGAAAGGTGGCATTTATGCCAGGGCAAACACTTCTCCAAGCCGCACCTTCTCTGAAAGCAACAATGTCAGATGCAGTCCCAAGACCCCTAGACAATTCCTTAGTGGCAGGTAGTCTTACTCATCTGCCTGACTGCTTTTAAGTGAGACAGAAGTGCACCTTGGGAAGAGGTGAATGTCATCTGACCTTGCTCAGGATGGTAAGGGGGTCAGGATGAGGAAGAGGAAGGATGAAGTGGGGCAGTGGGTGGTGACCAAGGTGGGCCTCAACAGCTGATCGCAGGGCCCCCACGCCTCTGGTAGGTGGCGAGACTTCAGCCAAGGAAGGAGCTGAAGGAGAGGGGACTGTGGTGGGGGCTGTCCCAGAGCACAGCCCAGCTGATTCTCTTCCTCGTTGTTTTCATGATGTGCATTGCAAATTGGGTCTGGGGACTTGGTGTAAGGGTTCATTTTCACACTGTGAATTCACCTTGCTTTGTCAAAGACTGACCAGGGACATTTCAAACTTTTACCAGAAAAAAATCTGCTCTGTGCCACCACATGGTAACAATGATACTTTATACCTATTCAGCAATTTTGATGAACATGAATTTATACTTTCATTTTTTGACTCTAAGCCTTTTACTATGGGGCAGGTAGGGGTTATCTCTAACGGCTTTCTGATTTAAGATTCTATGAGGAAAAGGAAGCAAGACTCACAGCTATACATGACTATTTCAAGATCTGATGGTCAAAGAGCTGGGTCTTCAGACTTTAATTTCAGCCTTTTCCTCTTAACTCTGCCTTTTTACAAATCAAGGCCAGGAAAGGTGTTGTCTGGAGTCCAAGATCTTACACAATGGAAATTATTTTTTGCAAGCAAGAGACCTTTTGCAAGCAAATGGAAAAGCAAGTTATTTGCAAAACCTCCAGTAGAAGTGATGGTGTGTCCGAATCTCTAGGCTGAAGAGCATTAAGCCTGAGCATAAAATACACTTTGACTGTCTTAAAAAAAATCTTCTGAAATAAAAGAATTTCTAGAAGAACAGAGTGCTTTGGCAGGGGAGGAAGCTTATAAGTGAAGCCATAAAACTGTCAGCTTAGCATAATATCATTTCACTAAGGTGAACTGGGACAGCTTTGTCCTCTCATTCTTTTCCTTCTTCCCAACGTTTTTTCCCCCTTGAAAAAACAGCCCTGCTTATGCCAAGGTAGAATTTTGGCACCACTTGCCTCTATTATGTGACAGAGCAGCTTTGTTGACGTGAAGAAAGGCTCTCCTTGCTTTGCCAGAATTAGTCATGGAAACTTCATGGGTGACAAGGGCCTTCAAATATATAGAGTGCCATGGGACTAGGGACAAAAGAATCCAGAGAACTGGTATATGTGTGGAGGGGGTCCCCAGGCTGGGATGCTCGCTCCTCCCAGGCACCATTCTGGAGAAGAATCCTGTAGCACAGCCCTAGAAAGCCAAGGAGAAAGAGCAGACCTGCTTCAGGCCCTTGAAGTCTAGCTGAAGCACTACGTGACCCTGTTCAATCTCTGATTATTTGCTTTGAAAAAGAACATGGTATTGCTCAGGAAGGATGCAATGTCCTTCCCTTGTATGTGCCTACAACCAACCCCTCATCTGGATGTTAGTGTACCAATGCCTGACCCAGGTTTTGTGAGGCTTGAAGCTTCATCACCTTAAGGACCCTCTGTGAGAAAAAGAAAACACATCTATGAATGCAGAAGCAGACACAGGGCCCT